CGGGAACCTCGCCCGCAAAGTCTGCACCTCGGCGCTCCAAGCCTGAGTTCCCGCTCACAAAGAACCGATTCAGCGCCCTGGCAGTAGACTACCAACATTTCGGGCCCATCGAGCTCAGCAACACAGAGGCCAGTAGCGCCAGTACCAGGCCCACTCAACAACGAAGGCGCCGGCGAAGTCGCCGAGCTGCCACCCATGTCCTGCCCGAGCTCAAAGGTAAGGAAGAGACGAGCTCGGACGAGGTAAAAGCTGCCCCAATTCCTCAGTTCCTTCCCCCCCTCGCATCAGAACTTCTAGCAGTCCCCATGCCCAGAGACTTCAAGCTCCCACCTTTGGACAAGTATGATGGGTCCTTTGACCCCAACGGCCATGTTGATGCTTTCCAGTCCCAAATGCACCTCACTAGGGCCAGTGAATCGTGCATGTGCGTGGCCTTCACCACCACCTTCAAGGGGGTGGCCCGCACCTGGTACAGGAACCTAGCCCCCGGGTCGATAAGAAGCTGGACCCAGTTCGTGCAGGTCTTCATCGCACACTTCGTTACCAGCAAGCGGTGCCCCAGAACTGAGGAAAGCATCGTCGGAGTAGTCCAGAGAGAAGGAGAATCCATCCGGGGCTACATCAAGCGGTTCAATGAAGCGTGCTTGCAAATACCGCGATTAGACCCCGCGGTACAGCTCACGGTGGCCAAGAGAGGAGTAACGCACAAGGAGTTCAAATGGCACATGGTAGCCAGCCAACCCGCGACCGTGGCCGAATTCCTCAAGCTCGCGGACAAGTTCATGAGAACGGAGGAAGAGATCAACCAAAGGACCGAAGGCGGGGTCGAGAAAAGGAAAAGAGAAGGTGAGCCCTCCAACCAAGGTGACAGAAGAAACCCGGCTCGAGAGGCGAAGCCAAGCCCACCGCCCCGAGCTCCCTTAGCAGTTCAGACGGATTACACACCGTTAAACAAGAGGCGGACCGAGATCTTGATGACGATCAAAGACACCCCATGGCCTTGTGCGGTCAGACTCAACCACGATTTCCTGGTGGTCGCGACCCCCTCCCCATACATTGCCATAATAGGGCGGTCAATTACACATATTCTGCGGGCAGTGGTCTCCACCTACTATCTGGCAATGAAGTTCCCTACAGACTTCGGTGTGGGGGTAGCGCGGGGCGACCAGCTTGAATCCCGCAAGTGTTATGTTGCCACC